GGGGATATCTTCCCAAACCCTTGGTCCTCCATTATCTCACCCCCACACAGGCCACCCTCTTTCTTCCATGGAATAGTCGCAATCCCCTCCATTTATATCAGTCCCCGTTCTCCCAAAAAACCCACCACCCTCCCTTTTTATGTGCGCTCTGGAATGCCCGCTCTGTCTGTAATAATCTCACCTCTGTCCATGACCTTTTTGTCTCCGGCTCCCTTAACCTACTAGCAAATTACAGAAACCTGGCTCCAAGCAGCAGATTCTGCTTCCCCCACAGCCGTTTCCTATGGAGGCCTCCTCTGGGACCCACTCACCCAGACCCAGTGGTCAGAAAGGTGGTGGGGTTGGTTTGCTTCTATCCCCAATGAGCACCTTTCAAGTCCTCCATAACCCCCTCCCTCTCTATCCTTCTCTTCTTTCCAGACTCACTGCATCCGGCTGTTTTCTCCCATTTCTCTGAGGATTGCAGTGATCTATCGGCCTCCTGGACCCGTATCCAGCTTTCTTGATAGATTTCTCCGCCTGGCTACCCTACTTTCTCTCCTCTGAACTACCCGCTATCATTCTCAGAGATTTTAACATCCCTATTAATGTCAACAACCCAGCTACATCCCAACTCTTCAACATAACCTCATCTTTTGCATTAGCACAATGTATACAGTCCACCATGGTCCTCCACTCACTCTGATGGACGCCGTCCTCCACTCACTCTGATGGGAATACATTAGATGTTGTTTTCTCCCATCTTTGCACTCCCTACAACTTCATAAACACCCCCTTTCCTCTCTCTGATCACAATCTCATCACCTTCACAGTCTCCTCGTCTTCAAACACCTATCCCTCCAAGCAGCCAAACAATTACCCGCAGAAACCTTCACAACTTGAACCCGGCTCCTTTCCACTCTGCAACTGACCAACTCTATGACAGAATCTCTCCCCTGTCCTGCCCTGACCTGACCTGGCCACTGCTGTCTACAACAGTTCACTGTCATCCACACTGGACTCACTTGCTCCTCTAACAACATGAAGCATCAGGCCCCGAAACATTACATCCGTGGCAGACTGACCACACCGGACATATTAAACGACATAGTCATGTGCTGGAGCGATTGTGGTGTAAAACCAAATCTCAGCAAGCATTCACCGATATAAATCTGCTTTCTTCACATACAATTCCTCCCTCCATGCTGCCATACAAGCGTACTTTGTCACTCTCCTCAATACCTTGTCATCCAGTCCTCGTTGTCTCTTCTCTACTTTCTCCACCTCCACCCAGTACCTCACTCACTGCTCACGAGATTGCAAATCATTTCAAAAACTAGATTGATGCAATTCGTAGGGGCATCACCACTGCACAGACATCCATCCCACTTAGCATACCTTATACTAAACCTCCCTCAACACTTTCCTCTTCTGACCTCGCTACCGAAGAGGTCACTAAGGTTTTCTCAGAAGCCCGTCTCACCACCTGCCCCCTGGATCCTGTCCCCTCACAACTACTACAGTCACCCTCTTCTTCCATCCTATGCTCCCTCACTCACATCTTCAATCTTTCCCTCTCTACTGGTGCCTTCCCCTCCCCTATAAAGCAATGTGCATATAACTCCCATACTTAACAAGCCCTCCTGGACCCCACCAACTGAACAACTTAAGACCCATCTCCCTGCTGCCATTTACCTCTAAACTCCTAGAACGCTTAGCCTACAATTGCCTGAGCTCCCACCTCACCGACAACAACCTTCTTCACCCTTTACAGTCTGGCTTTCACTCACTACACTCCACTGAAACTGCCCTACTAAACCTCACTAATGATCTACTAACTGCTAAAACCAATGACCATTACTTCGTACTCATCCCAATCAATGGCCACTACTCCGTACTCATCCCAACCAACGGCCACTACTCCGTACTCATCCCAACCAATGACCACTAATCCATACTCATCCCAACCAATGGCCACTGCTCCGTACTCATCCCAACCAATGGCCACTACTCCATACTCATCCCAACCAACGGCCACTACTCCATACTCATCCCAACCAACGACCACTCCTCCGTACTCATCCCAACCAATGGCCACTACTCCGTACTCATCCCAACCAATGGCCTCTACTCCGTACTCATCCCAACCAATGGCCATTACTCCGTACTCATCCCAACCAATAACCACTACTCCGTACTCATCCCAACCAATAGCCACTACTCTGTACTCATCCCAACCAATGGCCACTACTCTCGTACTCATCCTAACCAATGGCCACTACTCCATACTCATCCCAACCAATGACCACTACTCCATACTCATCCAGCCAATGTCCACTACTCTATACTAATCCCAACCAATGGTCAATACTCCATACTCATCCCAACCAATGGCCACTACTCCGTACTCTTACTACATGACCTCTCTGCGGCTTTTGATATGGTTGACCATCCTCTCCTCCTCAAAAAACTCCACTCTCTTGGCCTCGAGACTCTGCTCTCTCCTGGTTCTCCTCCTACCTTTCAGAGAGCCCCTTCAGTGTTACTGATAACTCTGACTCCTCCTCTTAACTCCCTCTCTCTGTAGGGGTCCCTCAAGGTTCAGACCTTGGACCCCTTCTCTTCTCCATCTACACCTCCTCCCTTGGTCACTTGATAAACTCCCATGGCTTTAAGTACCATCTCTATGCTGATGACACACAAATCTATCTTTCTACCCCTCACCTCATCCCTTCAGTTTCCTCCTCACGTTACCCCTTCAGTCTCCTCTCGCATTACTAACCTACTAAGTGACATATCAGCCTGGATGTAACTCCACTTCCTCAAAACTCAATATTTCCAAAACTGAGCTCTTAGTATTCCCCCCAGCCTGTGCCCCCTCCCCTGACTTCTCCATCAAGATCAATAACACAATCATCAGTCCCTCCCCTCATCCCAGGGTACTAGGTGTAATCCTAGACTCCCATCTGTCCTTTCACCCCCAAATCCAATCGCTGTCCAAATCTTGTAGACTTCACCTCCACAACATCTCCAAGATACGCCCGTTCCTAACCTCGGAAACCACTAAGCAACTTATTCACTCCCTTGTTATATCTCGCCTTGACTATTGTAACTCCCTCCTCATTGGCCAACCTCATCGCAGGCTATCCCTTCTTCAGTCTATCATGAATGCTGCTGCCAGACTCATCCACCTTAATAACCGCTCTGTATCTGCCATCCTTCTCTGCCAATTCCTCCAATGACCTCCACTCAGTGTCCTCCACCCCTCTCTGCCAATCCCTCCACTGACCTCCACTCAGTGTCCTCCACCCCTCTCTGCCAATCCCTCCACTGGCCTCCACTCAGTGTCCTCCACTAGAGATGAGCGAATTATTCAAAAATTCGATTCGGCGAATTCGAGGAATAAATTCGATTCGAGTCGAATATATTCGCTGCGAATTTAACTTATAAAAAGGGTGTTTCTAGGCTTCAGAGAGCCTTTATATTAGTGCAGAACACTGTACCTTTAATTTAAATGCCCTTGGAGTCTGCTGGGGAAGAGAAATAATACTGTCAGTCAGTATGACATGCAGATGAGTGCCGTCGATCTTAGAATCACCGCACACTTCACTCATTTGGGCAGTCACGGGGCCAAAACCAGAGTGTGGAGCCACAGTGTGGCGGTGGAGGCAGCAGCAATGGGAGGCCATACAGCACCCTATGACAAAATGGAACCCACCAGCAGTGTGAGGAGACCTGAAAGTGGCACATGGCAGAGTGTGGCGATGGAGACAGCAGCAATGGGAGGCCGTACAGGGACCCATGACACACTCTGGACCTGGCAGCAGCATGAGGAGGCGGGGTACAGGGCCCATGACAGATTACGGGCCTGGCAGCAGCATGCATGAGGGAGTCGGTACGGGGGCCCATGGCAGATTACGGGCCTGGCAGCAGCAATGGGAGGCCATACATTATTATTACATTACATTACATTGAGTTTATATAGCGCCAAAGGGTTTGCTCAGCGCTGTACAATAGAGGGGGGGACAATACATGAAACATTACAGCAGCTACGAACAGCACACGAGGGGTAAGAGGGCCCTACTCTTTCGAGCGTACAATCTGGCAGCAGCATGCATGAGGAGTCGGTACGGGGGCCCATGGCAGATTACGGGCCTGGCAGCAGCAATGGGAGGCCCGTAATCTGCCAGCACCCTATGACAAAATGGAACCCACCAGCAGTGTGAGGAGACCTGAAAGTGGCACATGGCAGAGTGTGGCGATGGAGACAGCAGCAATGGGAGGCCGTACAGGGACCCATGACACACTCTGGACCTGGCAGCAGCAAGAGGAGGCGGTACAGGGGCCCATGGCAGAGTGGCGAAGCGTAAGCAGCTTAAATTGAAGGCCATACAGAGGCCTATGTTAAAAATAATAACATGTTTGGGGCATGATTCATGGCGGATTTAGTCAGTTGTGTCAGGAACTGGTGGTTTGAAATCCAGACTAATCCACGCCTGATTTCATTTTCACAAACGTGAGTCTCTCCACACTTTGGGTGGACAGTCGTGTCCTCCGCGGAGTTACAATACCTCCTGCCGCACTAAACACGCGCTCCGATGCCACGCTACTGGCCGGGCATGACAGCCTTTCAAGGGCAAATTCAGCTAGTTGGGGCCAAAGGTCAAGTTTCGTTGCCCAGTAGTCAAGGGGATTGTCTACCTCGGTTGGCAGGGTGCTGTCCAAGTAGGCCCAAGCCTATTGTTTGAGGTCCTGCTCCAGGTCCACCTGATGCTGCTGCTGCTGCGGCTGGTTAGTAGTTTCCTCACTGCGCTGGTGAAGAAAGCTACTCATCATCGACTGCAGACTGAGGCAGCCGCTGCTGGTGGAGCTGCCACTGCTCCTACCACACCACCCCTCCCCTGCTGCCATGGCAGCGGAACGTGAGCGCACAGGGCCCACAGTGTCTGAGGATGGACGTTGGCGCAGAAAGGCAGACCAACTGACTACATAGGTGGTTTTTATAGTACGTTATTTTGGCCTCCCTCTCAGCAGGTGTGAAAAAGGCCACCCATTTTTGAACGGTAGCAAGGGTCCAACAAGGTGGACAGCCAAAAGTCATCCCTCTGTCTGATGGTTATTATTCAGCTGTCGCTACGCAAGCAACCAAGCATGCTATGGGCCATTTATGCCAAGGAATGCGAGGGACTCCCTGCCTCCATCTCTACAGCATACTGCCACGGTGCGTCTGGGTCCTCTGTCTCCTCCTCCTCCTCCTCTACCAGATGTTCCTGCTCCTCCACTCCTGTCCGCTGAGTGGAAAAACCACCCATTTCACTCAATAATTCCTAAGCACCAATGTCCTCCTCTACCTCCTCCTCTTCTTCCTGTCCTGCCCCCACAGGGGTCATGTGGCGTTGAGATCTGTGCGCCACGTCTACCGCACCCTGACCAGCCATTGTTAACAGCATTTGTTCCAGGACGTGCAACAGAGGAATGACGTCGTTCATCCCATAGTCCTGCCGACTCACGAATAGCGTGGCCTCCTCAAAGGGCCTGAGCAAGCGGCAGGTGTCACGCATGAGCTGCCAATGGCTGACATCTAAGTTACACAGGGGAGTAGTACCTGTATCCGCTTGTAACATCAGGAAATCGGTGATGGCCTTTCGCTGTTCGTAAAGGCAGTCTACCATATGTAGGGTTGAATTCCACCTTGTTGCAACGTCGCAGATCAGGCGATGCTGTGGAATTCCGTTCTGCCGCTGCAGCTCAAGGAGGGTGTGCTTTGCGGTGTAGGAATGGCTGAAATGCATGCAAAGTTTACGTGACATTTTAAGGATGTCTTGCAGTGGGATGGTGGATTTTAGGAACCGCTTGACAACCAGATTGAACACGTGAGCCATGCATGGCGCATGGCACAACCTTCCTTGACACAGAGCAGACACCATGTTCTTTCCGTTGTCGGTCAACATGGTTCCGATTTTCAGTTTGCGCGGAGACAGCCATCTGTCGATTTCTCTGTTCATTACACTCAGAAGTTCCTCCCCTGTGTGACTACGTTCGCCAAGGCATACCAGGTGCAGCACAGCGTGACACCGTTGCGCCCTGCACATGTGATATGCCGGTCGGGTAATGGGACTTGGCACGGGGGTGGCGGCTGAGGACACGGCGGAAGAAGAGGTGGACATCTTTGCTGGACCAAGGACGTGCAAACGTGGAGGCAAAAGCGGCGTGACCTGTCCAAGTTGCTGGTGCGGCTGTGCCGGCACCACGTTCACCCAGTGGGCCGTAAATGACATGTACTGTCCCTGACCGTAGCTACAGCTCCACACGTCGGTGCTGCCGTGCACTTTGGCAGAGACCGACATGCTCAAAGACTGGCCCACCATCTCTTCTACATGTGAATGCAGGGCTGGCACTGCCTTTTTGGCGAAGAAATGCCGGCTTGGCACTCTCCACCGCGGCGCGGCACAAGCCATCATTTCTCGGAAAGGTGCTGAGTCCACCACTTGGAAAGGGAGGGACTGCAGCACCAGCAACTTGGACAGGAGGACGTTCAGCTTTTGCACCGTCGGGTGCGTGCTCGCAAACTGTTGTCTCTTGGAAACGGATTCCAAGAAAGACTGCTGACGGAATGCGTGAAGAGGAGTAGCAGGAGAAGGAGCATCTGAACGAGCGGAAGATGCCAACGAGCGACAACTCCCCTCAGCAGAGGTGTTGGAGCCTTGACTGGCTGATAGAGGGCGATTGACGTCGGGTGACGGAGCAAGTAACGGAGCGGGTGATGGAGCGGGGGCTGGGGCGGGCAGAACCGCCGTATCTTTATCACGGTTTTCCCAGGCCACCGAATGGCGACGCTGCATATGCTGACGCAACGCTGTAGTCCCAACATGGGCCCCCTGGCCACGCTTGACTTTCTGGCCACATAGTCGACATACGGCTACGTTTACTTCCTCGGGCGGCTTGACGAAAAATTGCCACACCGCCGAGTAGGAAACTTTGCCCCCGCTACTCCTCACTGGCTGACTGCTACTTCCTCCGTACACACCGGCACCACTACTGGCCGTGGTGGTAGGCTGCAGTGGAGCTGGTGCTCTACTCCGTGGCCGTTTGCCTCCACTGACACTGCTGCGACCCTGCTGCCTCCTGGGCAACCCACCGACTGTTTTGCTCGCTGCCAAGCTGGCACCCTCTTCTCCTGATGATGCGGAAGCAATA